TAGACTCGCTGTGTGTGTGTGTGTGTGTGTGTGTGTGTGTGTGTGTGTGTGTGTGTGTGTGTGTGTGTCTGTTTGTAATAATTAGAGCAGACACAGGGGGTGAGCAGGTCACTTGCCTCTGGCTGACCGTCAGAGTCGGCGTCACATGATTGAATGTCAATAGTCGGCCCATAGCAAAACTACACATTTCAACAACTACAAGCCGCACCTGTGGTCTCACACGTGTCCACCAGGGGCCACGGAGAGTAGAGTGAATATGAACGCAGCAGAAATACTTCAGACTACTGCACAAATTGTACTACAGTAATACAGTATTGATGGAAATTAAATCTGTTAAACTGATATATATATACAAATACATAATACATATATGTATATATATAAATATATACGTATATATGTATACACATATATAGACACATACATAACAGCAGTTTGTCATCTAATCTAATGGAGATAGTGTATGTTGATGGTGATTAGTCACTGAGGAATACATCTATATGTGTATGTGTGTTATATATATATATACATATATAGAAATATAAACATTAAATGAAGAAATTCTATTATTGTGTCAAATATTGACATTTGACAATAAAAAAAAAGATTATTTAAAAAACTGCAGTAAAAATCTGAAGGGGTCAGTTTTGGGTTTGTTCCATTTTTTTTTTTTTAACACCGTTTTTGGTTGTAAATCCAAAGGCTGGCTGACAGTTGATCTGGAGCTCTGATGATCAGATGTCACACTCGCTGGGGGGTGGGAGAGGGGATTAAAATCACTGACCAGCAGATCAACGACATCGTCTGCTCTATGTGAAACACGTAAACAAAAAAAAGGAAGGAGAAGAAGCTATTTACATTTTGTATCAAAGCTGCAGCACCATGTGTTAGGTCTGTAGCAGGCGCTAGTATTTCTGTAGACGTATGAATGCAGTGTATCTGAGACACAGTGACAGCTTTAAGCTGAGCGAGGCCCGTCACTGTCACAGTTCCCTTCAGTCCTCACATGCCAGACCTTCCGAGGGATTACGTAGGTGGGGTGTGAAAACACATTTGGGCGAGAAAACGCGGTCAGATTTTAGAAGTGCTTATCTGCGTAATTGTCCCATGAAATAGTTGGAGGTTTAATCTGTTTTAGGGATAGGTGACGTTTGCTGCAGATTCTGCCTTAGGCTCGAACCTGCGCGGATTTACAGCGTCTGTTGTTAAGTACATATCGCTGAGGCCTGGCATTTGATCCGCTGCCCACGGTCAGCGAGGGTCATCAACAGACCAGACAGTCGACACCTCCCAGTGATTGTTGTATCACAAATCTGTGTGAGGAAACTGGAAGACCTGGAGAACCCTCTGCCCTCTAGGGGAGAGGACGAAGCAAGTCTGTCGTAAGAGCTGCTGAATTAGCTGAGCCAAAAATTAAAAATAAAAATGAAAAGACAAAGAAAAGGGTAGACTGTGAAAGAAATTGCTAATAATCAAAATATATAATAAATATATATAAAATATATAATATAAATATGTTTTTAATGATACTGTACTATATGATCTGATCACGTGACCAACAGAAGAAAAATCAATACATGATGAAAATAAATACATAAATATATAAAAACCCTTCACGTCACACAGTGAGACCGATCTGAGAGAATGCTGCGGCTCCACCTAGTGGTGAAATAGAGTCTAGGCATGTTGTACAAATATGTTGACGCGTTAAAGCAATAGAGCAGTTTAAAAAATATATGAATCATTCTGTATTTGAAATTCTCTTAATGCAGTTTTACACAGGTGTTAATGACGTGTGATCACTGAAGTACTATATATGCAGTACTATATATGAAGTACTATATATGCAGTACTATATTCAGAAGTGAAGCAGGGATCAGACCTGCACACATCACTTTCACATTCTTTTCCATTCACTCTCTTATTCTGAGCTGAGGGGCTTGGACACTTAGCTTAGCTTAGCTTAGCTGGATCGCTATGACAACAGGAAGTGAGCGTGGTCCATTCAGCTGACAAACTGCGGCATCTGTGGCATTGACTAAAAGACTTAGAAAGTATGACTGTTTAATCTGACTGGAGGTCAACGTCATAAAGAGCCCATGTGATTGGTGGACGGAGCGGAGTCCATCTCCACAGGTGGCTTTCACGGGGAGGATCGTGTCATTGCGACATGACAGCGTTGGATGTAACTTGACTCAAAACGGCGTCTCTCAGTATTAGCATTAAGGTATTGATCCGGCTGTCACAGCGCCCCCCTGTGTTCTTCTTGAAGAACACTTGGTGAGAAAACCGGAGGAGGGAACGTTCTCATGCATGCCTGCTGGATTTGGCCCAGCGTTCTGCAACTGCATATGCTGGGATGGATTACACTGATCCAACTTAATGCCTAAGACCATGCAATCATTCATAACTACAGGAGCCATTGGGGGCACGGACGTGGATGGTCTGAGCGCCATCTGCCACTAAGTGGAGGATTAGGTTTGAGGGAGATGTTGGAAAATGGTTGGGGCGGGGGGTGAACTGTTGACCACAGGTGGTGAAGAACGCATATAGATAAAAAAAATTTGGACTGAGAAAGTCCTGAGTACTTTGAGTGTGATCCGATACCAACCCTAGGCTAGCTCCTGATTCAGTTTGTCAAATAAAGACCGCTCTGACGTCTGCACATCTAGAAAGACTTCAAGGCTTCTGCAGTGTTCCGCACATTCACAACAATACCACACACCACAATTGTTCTCTTTTACTGATGATGCAAACGTAACCACAAGTTTCCGAAAGGTTTACGTTCATCTCGCTACTAGCCACTGCTAGCTTCTTCTGAGCTTCCAGGGCGCTAACAGAGCTAACAGACAGTGCAGCATCACTGACCTGTAACTGATATGAGGTATGCGCATAACAACAGAAATGTATACAATCAGTGACAGCTAATCCGTGCACCTCCACCAGAAGGGGTCACTGGGGTAACAGTCAATGCTAAACGTGATACTGTTTACGTTTTTGAGTAAGTCTTTGTGGCTTAATATGGCACAGCGCCACCTAGAATACTTTTCACAAGCTGTCGTTAATATAGACAATATTGAAACAAAAGCACTGCTGCACCAACGTTGCTAAGACAATATTGAAACAAAAGCACTGCTGCTCCTCCAACGTTGCTAGCCACGAGGCTAAGGTATCTCGTGAATATTTTCTTATTATCTTTGTAGCTGCTACAGGATCTTAGCTCAAATCTTAGCTCGTCCGAAGGACGTCTTTGCTTTTCAAACTGACAGCATCACATGTTTACACTAACCTTCTGTTTTTTCTTGTCTCCACGCAGCCCGCTGTGACGCCTGGCCCTCCGATCATTAGGAACCGCCCAGACCGCGGGAAGAAAAAAACCCTCTAGCTGAAAAAAAGAAGAAAAACATTTTAAAATTAGCTGCCGATGAAAACAAACAAAACAACAACATTTCTACAACCCTTTTGTTGAACTTGTGCCTTCGACCCACTTCACCGGTGTTACTTCAGAAAACCTTTGTCGATTTTTTTGGATTTGCTTTGCTTCATGTTCAGGACTTTCTGAGATTCTTTTAGGTCTACCCACAGGACGAAAAAAAAAGCAAAAGCTTGGTGGTTTTTGTTTTTTTTAATCATATTTTGTCCCAATTTTTTAAAACAAAAAATTTCTGACATTTATTTACAGAGGAAACCCAGTACTGTGCAGTATCATTCCATCTTTATGTAAAGATATCATGTGTACACCGACTTTGGATACACTTTTTGGTTTATTTTTGTAACAATGTTTCCTGATTTCTATTTTTCTAAAATAACAACTCAGATCCAGAGATGAAGAAAGTCATTTAGGGGAGAAAAAAAAAAGAACTTGTGATAAAGTTTGTTAACATTTCCCTTCGACTGATATCTTTACACACCTCTAACAGTGATGTGCTGAACAGCTGCTTACTGTGCCTTTACCTTTAAAACAGGGGTGTCTGATTTGTTTGTGAATTATTTCATTTTCAGAAATGTATCAAGCGGGCCGCATTGATCCCGTTAGTGGGCCGGTTGTGGCCAGCGGGCCATAATTTTGACACCCCTGCTTTAAAAGGTAATGGGCCAGTGCAAGCTCTGAGCAGATTTTGCAGATTGGGAACCTGAAGGCCGCTTCTCGTAACCACGGCAACGGCACAGACTGAGACAGAAATGGCTGCTGGACAACAAAGATAATATGACTGAGCTGCAAACAGAGCCAGAAGAAGAAGAAGAAGAAAGTGCAGAGTCAAGGATGAACCTGGATGTTTATCAGTGGTTAGCGCCTAAGCTAACACTTCAACATTACTTTGGTGTTAATATGTGGACTAACCAAAGTGGCACGACCTCTCTGGCCAGCTCCCCGGTGTTGTTACTGATGAAAACACACTTCTAGTGCCTCAGGTGTTCACAGTATAAAAACGGCTGTTCATTTAGCGCTGTGCTAAATGAACAGCCGTGTTTAGCTTTTGTGTGCGATACGATCGGCTAAAACGGAGGATCCTCACACAACTCGGGTTGAGTACTTAGTTGTCGAAACTGCACCGTAAGGAGTAGACTAAGACTCCCCAGATCCAACTACGTGCACGTCGACCGTGACATGGTCACTTTGAAAAAAATATGTCCCCTTTAAAATAGCATGAAAAAAATACAGTAGTAAACTCTTATCACGAAGCTGCCGTCCTTGGACTGCGTAGACCGTGGATGTCCAACGTCAGCCCCTTTAGCCTTGCCATGGCTCCACACCAACCTTCCCGATACCTCACTGTAGAACACATCTACACTCACTGTCGTCAGACCTGATCAGGTATCTCCATATCTGTTAATGCATCAGTGGTACAAATGAGTTTGTGCCTTTATGAGGATCACTACTACATTATCAGTCAAGTCATTGCCCTCAACCACTCATTCTTCTGTTGAACTCAAAACAGCATGGATTATAGATCGCCGGTCAAATCGGAAAACCAACGCATGGTCCACAGGGAGATGCAAATACGGGACAGAAGAGGATCTGCCGTTCCAACACAAGGGACACAGCTGATTGGCTGGGAGTGTGAAGGTACAGAGGTTAGAAAAGATGAAGAAACTGTTCTAGGCTTTTCTAAATCTCTGTATCTTGAGACAAAAACGGAAAAGTTCTCCACCTCTAAACCGTCCTAAGATGGAAACGGACCGATTCAAAACCACAAACCTCGACTAAGCCTGATTCCAACACAGCATTGTTTTCTAACTGCTCTTCAGTTGATAACGGTCGGTCGGTCGTCCTCACGTCAGAACTGCGTTTCTACCATCTTCTTTTATCCCAAACATTGACAGACATTATTATATAATATTATTATATAAGAAATCATTTTATTTTTGCTCTCTTTCAACAACAACATTAGAAAAAAAAATCATTTTCTACCTAGTTCTTGTTTGTACTGCATGGTATCAAGTGACTTGACCCCTATAGTAGTGGTGATGTGTTTCCTCCTCCTGTGTGGAGACGTCAGTCTTTTCTGCCTGTGAGTGTGAATCAGCCATGGAGCAGTCCGTCCAGGACCTTCAACCCCCGCCGTTTCCCCCCAAAACAGAGCTGCCAAATGTATCTGAGGTCTTTTATTTTTCAGACGTTTTCTCTGTGTATAGTTGGTTTTTAAGTGTATCACATGTTAAAACGTCACCCTGTCAGTGTTACATTGTGTTTCCGATTACATTTGAACAAATGCTGTTTGTTAAAATGTTTAAGAAATTATAACAATATGCAGAAGAAGTATGAAATAAAAGGAAACCAACTTGACTCTCGTCTGTTTTACCACGAGTGTTCGCTGTCGAAAGTACAGGGCTGTTTATCGTTTCATAGTTTGACCACTTGATGGCGACATCAGCTCACATACAGCAGTCCTTAGTCAGCGTCGCTTGTAGTGACCCGGAAAAGAAACGGATTTTCTCATCCGGTTACCGGATGCTACATTAGCATTCTTTTCTAAGCAAATAACCTCCAATTCTGAGTACATTTTATTTTATTTAAATTAAGTATTATGACTAAAACATTTGTATTGTTGCTTTTTGTTTTAAAATGTATTTTATGTATATATATTCTATATATTTAATATGTATATTATCTACAGTTGTTTACAGTCCAAAGCTAAAATACTGTAAAGCTAAGCTAGTTAGGTTAGTTAACGTAGCAAGATAAACAACGTTCTCATTTGCATGAGGCCAAATATGTATTGATGTATCATTTAGCAAGGAGATGGACTGTTCTAACATGAATAGTCGCTGGTAAAACACAGATGTATCATTTAGCAAGGAGATGGACTCTGTCCTAACGTGAATAGTCACTCGGTAAAACACGAATATATGAGTGGGTTCAACTTTTTTGAAGGGGTTGGGGGGGATGTGGACACACTGACTAACACAGGGTGTTTGGTTCCCGGTGGGATTATAGACAGGATTGGATCATTGTGAACACAAATAGAGGCAGAGCACCTGTTAGACATGGACATACTTACATATAATATGGGCTGACGTGGGTCGGTCGAGGACAAAAGAGTCCACCCAGGCGAAATACTGAGTGGGTCATTTAGCAAAACAAACGAACAGAGCGCGCACGCGCGTCTGTTTTTCGCAGAATCACAATTGTTGTGTTAATATGGGCTAACGATAAATACACGGAGAACTTCGTTCGTTTAGTGTGAGGCCTTTTCCCTCCACGTCTCATTCAAAAGAATTTAAATTTCCCTCCTTTTCCAAGTCGACTGACTATTGGCTCGCGGCCGTAACACGTTACCTCTGACGCACATCGCCACCAGCAAATAGAAATGTAGCAACGGCGCAGCTATATTTGCATGTCATAGCTTTAAATATAGCAAAAGGCGTGGCGTCAAAGTATAATTGTGTTATAAACAACTTATCACCATGCCTGAAGCGTCTGCTGCGAAGACCGCGCCTAAGAAGGGCTCCAAGAAAGCCGTGACCAAGGCGGTCAGCAAGACTGGCAAGAAGAAGAGAAAGACCAGGAAGGAGAGTTATGCCATCTACGTGTACAAGGTCCTGAAACAGGTCCACCCTGACACCGGTATCTCCTCTAAGGCCATGAGCATCATGAATTCCTTCGTCAATGACATCTTTGAACGCATCGCATCTGAGGCTTCCCGCTTGGCTCACTATAACAAGCGTTCTACCATCACGTCACGGGAGATCCAGACCGCTGTGCGTCTGCTTCTGCCGGGTGAGCTGGCCAAACACGCCGTGTCTGAGGGAACCAAGGCTGTCACCAAGTACACGAGCTCCAAGTAAACTGGTCTCCTGTCACCGTTACAACCAACGGCTCTTATAAGAGCCACCACTTCTACCGTGAAAGACAAACTCCTGTACTGTTCAGCGGCTTGTATGAATCTTACAATAAATTCCCCTAACAAAACGACTGTTGTTGGGAATATTTATTAAAAGGTCTCTTTGATTTACATAGGAAGCATTATGATGAATCCGCTTTATAACGTGGAGCTTGGTTATAACATATGACAGTAGTGTTAAACAGCTGTAGAGGCCGACTGTATAAAGTACACCACAATGACGAAGAACTTTACTTTGCAAACGTAAATATCTGAAATATAACCGTGAAGGACGGGTTTAAAAAGCTTGCGCCTTTGTAACACTATGACGGTAATAGTGTTACAAATAAATCCTACTTGTACAAACAATCTTTTTTAAACAGGTCTTACTTAAAGTATGTCTGTTTCTGAAACGTGTTCAGTGGCGTTAACAGTGAATGCGGAAGTAGTGACGTCAAGACCACAACAGATACAATCTTTAAAAAAATGATAAAAAGACGTTTAAACAACAAAACGGTTATTTACACATGTTAACTACTATTAATTTTACACCGGGTTAATACCGCCTACATTCTTCTATGAGTTCACGTCATAACGGAAATGTATGCGCGCCGAAACAGGACTCTTGCTTTCTCTCACGTCCGCTGAAGATCTTTAAATACAGCGGTTGGCTTCCTGTAGACTCATTCTGTATCTTACAGCGACTTCAACTCACCAAGCCGGCTATCCGCCGTCTGGCTCGCCGTGGCGGAGTGAAGCGTATCTCCGGCCTGATCTACGAGGAGACCCGCGGTGTCCTCAAGGTCTTCCTGGAGAACGTGATCCGTGACGCCGTCACCTACACCGAGCACGCTAAGAGGAAGACAGTGACCGCTATGGATGTGGTTTATGCTCTGAAGAGACAGGGCCGCACTCTGTACGGTTTCGGAGGTTAAACTCGGTACCTGAACGCACCAAGACCCAACGGCTCTTTTAAGAGCCACCCACAACAACAAAGAACATGTCTCTGTTATAAGTCTCATTAACTTAATAATAATAATAGCTTAATTTTAACTGTGCAAGATGATTATTAGGTTAAAGAAAGTAAAAAAAAACCAAACATGACAAGTGTTTGTTGACGAGAGTTGGTTATTCACAATTACTTCTTTACAGCTACGTTGATGTACAACTCTGCATTTGATTACTCTTATATTATGTTAATTTTTATTTTTATACTTTATTACTATACTATGCATACAACATATACATACATTGATGTGTGCGAACTACACGTAATAATATAAATCAAAATGTTATGCGAGATTATTTAATTTTTATGGTTTCAACTCAAAATAAACTAGTTTTATGAAAAACTAAAACAAAACCAAAAGCCTCCATATTCGGATATTTTTTTACTAAGCACAGATTCAAGTGCGCTAAAAATTTATTTGGCAAACAATGCACCGGCAAAATCCACCAGCACGTTGTGGATCAGGATCAATTGGAATCTTGGGAGTAATTTTCTACGACCTTAGTTCAGAATTGAGTGAGAATGATTTTTATTTTTGTCTAAGTCTAGTCTCATAAAACTTTTTCATACTCGCAATTTTAATGAGTGCCAAGGTTTTAGAGCATATCAGACACCACGTGTTTAGTTCTCACACTGAGAGGATGAACAGAAACGAATAAATACTTGATTGTTTCCCCTCTTCTTTTCGCCCTCTTTTTTTCTTCTACCACTTTTTCTCGTTTCCTTTGGTTTTCTGTAATTTGTTTTTACGTGTAGAGTCGCTCCGTTTACCGCTTGGCACGTACACACTCACTTGGCTGAGCTATGTGACGTAAATCATCAAACCAATACCGTAAAGACCATAAAAGCTGCGCCAATTGTAATAGAAGCGCAACCTACATTTTGTATTTATGAGTTTATCTGTAGCCACTGGGTTCCGACGTTAGTGCATGCGCATATAGTACATACGGATTGTGTTTGCACATATATTTGAGTAATAAATGAAAAATATAATTAATGTTTTTGATGACAAAAATGACACTAATCATGATTTAATATTTTACTCTAATTTAGTGTTTCTGAATTATTTTCCCCATCCAATTGAAATACTATAAACTAGCGCCTGGTATATATTTATTATTTATCTTCACTATAAGTTACTGGATGAGTTCCTGGCACCAGCATTCTGCATACAATCCCGATTATCACAATAGATCAATAATGCGTGCTCTGCTGCCATCTAGTGACTGGAGGCTTTAATATGGTTCAAGCATGAATAAAGACAGTAAACTGAAAGTCCCCTCTCGCGCACCGTGTGACATCTAACCGGGACGCAGCCCACTACTTTAGAAGCATCACTCTAACTGCAACAGTCACAGCTCCTTTACCAGAATTACACCCAGTTTGTGCGTTAAATAAGAATCCATATGTATGTTGAAAGTAACTTTTTTTTTTATTGAGTCATAAATTTTGGCCCAACATCGTTGGGTGGAATGCAAAACCACAAAGTAGACAAAACTCACAGAATACAATATTTACAATCTTTAGACATTTTCACTACAACGGATAGAGTGCATTTGGTAAATAAAGTAAAAATAAACTTCACAATTTAAAACATTTCAAACACAACACGGACATTTAAGAAAATAAGGTCGAAAATAAGTCGACGGTTAAGAGTCTTTTGGTTGTGTTTGGCAGATAGAAAAACAAAAGCTGTAGAGTCTTTTACTTCTTGGCTGGTTTCTTAGCTGCCGCCTTCTTCCCTTTGGGACTCTTTGCTTTCAACACTTTCTTTGGAGCTTTCTTTGGTGTCGCCGTCTTCTTCGCGACCTTCTTCGGGCTCTTTGTCGCCTTTTTGGGGGCTTTCTTGGCAGCTGGAGCCTTCTTCGCGGTCTTCTTCGGTGTGGACTTGGCGGGCTTGGGCTTCTTGACCGTTGTTACTTTCTTAGCGGACACTTTCTTAGGTGTCGCCGTCTTCTTGACACTGGCTGCGGACACCTTCCCCTTCTTCTCCTGCCCGGGCTTCTTTGGCTTCACGGCAGCAGAACTCTTGGACTTGAAAGAACCTGAAGCTCCGTTTCCCTTCACCTGAACCAGGTCTCCTTTGGCGACCAGTTTCTTGACCGCGCGTTTAATCAGAGCGGACTTGTGCTCCACATCGAAGCCCTGAGAGCCGAGTGTCTTCTTCAGGGCCGCGTAGGAAATGCCCTTCTTTTCCTGGGACGCAGCCACAGCCTTCAGGATCAGCTCGGCGGCTCCAGGACCGGACTTCTTGGCGGGTTTGGCGGACTTCTTCTTGGTTGCCTTGGCCGCGGCGGGAGCAGCGGGTGCAGCGGGAGCCACTTCTGCCATTTTAGTCAGGGTTGTTGTTGTTTTACTATTCAAAGTAGCGTCGTAACGTTGCCGTTGACAGCGAGTGTTTTTTTCCTGCTTCACAGTAAGACACTTAAACACACCATGAGAACCGTGGAGACTCAGTCTGCCCTCTGCTGCTCTCTGCTGCACAAACACGTCGCACGTTTGTGTTTTCTCTCCGCACAAAAATCACAAAAACACAAAAAATGGCAACGTTTTTCACCGCGAATTCTTCTTATACTGACTCACGTGAAGTCTCCCCTCACGCAAACGTTAAACAAAGCCTGAAACACGTTTGTGTTTTCATCAAAAGACCCTAAAATCTCCTCTACCGACCGCTTCGCGAGGCTCGACACTCGGACTTTTTACTAGAAATTATCTCCAAAAAACTCCACAAAGCAGCAAATGGGTGACTAAACCACCGAAATGTTGAGAAACGATCCTCGTTTATGAATAGCACTTGAAATTATTTGAATTCGTAGCGGTATTTTTATATAATAACGGGTTAATGAAAGAGCTGCAAACACAGTCTGAATACGAGGTCGAACAACGAAGAGATGACAACCGAGGGTAAAAGACCGACAACTGCTCACTCATGTAATATAAAGTACCGAACTAATCTTCATCTATACTTGCCAGTTTTAAGTTTACCGACTGAAGATCTCATCTAATATTACCTAAAGCTTTGTTCCTGCCTTTAAAGTTGTTTCAATTCTTTGTTCCTTTTTTTTCCTCTGACTTTTGTCCTTTTAGTGTTAAGAATTATTATTATTATTATTATTATTGATCCATCACTTTTCAAGATTCCATCACTACGTCTGTCAAAATGCAAGGGTGTCAAACTCAAATTCACACTGGGCCTAAAATAAAAACTGGGACAATGTCGCCGGCCAAACTTAGTATTTATTGAAACATTGACAGCCATTCTGCGTGTTTTCCCTTCTGTCCAGATTTGGAAACAAAACTAGTTTTACGCAAACATTGAATATGGAACAACCAAAGCTTAATATGATAAACATTCATTATTATTATGAAATTGAATATGAAATAAAACACATCAGTGGTATTTGTTTCTTATTATGTCTCTTTATCTGTAGCCTTTTGACTTCCTTTTTAATGTGAAGATTTTTGCACAGGCCAACAATGAAAAAAACAAATTGTATGTGCTGTAACATTGCGCACACCCCCCTAATACTACAAATCCTGCCAGTATATAAGGGCTATACACTGGTGGGCCAACTGTAGTTCACATTTGATATGATCTCACAGGCCAAATATAATTACACTGCGGCCCAGATTTGGCCCCCGGGCCTAAGTTTGACATATAATGTTAACAACTTATGACATGAATTTTTGCAATTTTTTTTGTTTGCAATTTTCTTATGTCCAATGTCTTTTACTATAAAACATCTTAGAATCTTCTTATGCATTTTGCAGCTTTGTGGCGATTTATAAATGTTTTTGTTTCCTTCTATTACCTGAACAACATCAAAGTTGCTCAAAACTAGGAAAAATTGATTGAAAACTGATTTGAGTGCATTGGTGTTTTTCTGTAGCATCAGATTAAAATTAGACAACAACACACAATCCACACAGTCTTCATATATACTCATATTCTCTTTTTTTTTCAATTTTGCTTGAACCTTTTATCACCTTCTGCCATCATCAAATGAACAAAAATGTAATAATTTTCTTGATTTTACAGGTTTAGCTATTTGAAATATGAAATTCTTTTAAATTACATATTTTCCCATATCAGTGGTATCTAGTCTTTAATAGTTCAAGAAATGTACCGCAACATTAATTCAATTACTTATTACTATTATTAATGTATTTAAAAATACCTTTTAAAAATGGCATTTGAAGGATTAAATTTGAATATAGCTTTGAACATAATGGACGTTGTTTATGTCCCCAACCTCCGGTTCAGGGAGCAATGCCGGTCCGCAGGTCATTTGGTACCGGGTCGCAGTGGGACACAGTGAAAAAATGTATTTCGGTTTTACTAATTTATTTCATTCAAAAGTTATCCAGTCATATCTCTTCACTTTTTTCATTCAAAGATAACCCATCAATGTTCCAAAACAACAGGTCAAAGGTCATTCAGACTCTGATACTAACAGAATAAAGTCTGAAAGATGTTTTATTT